CTAACCAGCATAATCTCACATACCCCCCCGACACACAAAATCACAGGTGATTTTCTTTTCTTTTAAAAAAGATTTACTGTGATAAAATATGTAACCCCAAATTTACCACTTTGACTACTTGTAAGAGTACAATTCAGTGATGTTAATTCCATTCACCATGCTGTGCAACCATCACCACTCTCTATTTCCAAAAGCTTTTCAGCACCACAAACAGAAACTCATACCCTTTAAGCAGTAACACCTCCCCATTCCTCCTCCCACTCTTCCCACCTCTGATAACTGCTAGTAAATTTGGTCTCTCTGCATTTGCCTACTTAAGACATTTCATGTAAGTGAGATCATATAGTATTCGTCTTTTTGTGTCTGATTTATTTCCTGAAGTATAATGTTTTCAAGGTTCATGCATGTTGTAACATGTATCAGAACTTCATTTCTCTTTATTGCCAAATAATATTCCATTGTATGCATGTACCATATTTTGTCTATCCATTCACCTGTTGGTGGACATTTGTGTTTTCATCTTTTGGCTATTGTGAAAAGTGCTGTAGTGAACACTGGTGTATAGGCTTCTGTTTGCATTCCTGCCTTCCCGTCTGCTGGGTGCACACCTAGGAGTGCAATGCCTGGGTCATATGGTAATTCTGTGTTCAACTTTTTGAGGATCCACCCAACTGGCTTTCACAGTGGCTGCACCATTTTACATTCCCACCAGCAACAGATGAGGGTTTGTTTCTCCACAACCTCACCAATAGTTGTTGTTTTCCATTTTTTTGACTGCTGCCATTTTAATGGGGATGAGGTGATACCTCATTGTGGTTTTGACTACCATCTCCCTCATGGAGAATGAAGGAGCCTTGGTGGCACAGTGGTTAAGCACTCAGCTGCTAAATGAAAAGTAAGTGGTTTGAACCCAAACAGCCACTCCACAGGAGAAAGATGTGGCAGTCTGATTCTGTAAAGATTACAGCTCTGGAAACTCTATGGGGCAGTTCTGCTCTGTCCTACAGGGTCGTTATGTGTTGGAATAGACTTGATGGCAACTGGTATGTATGTGTGTGTGTGTGTGTATACACACACACACACCAACCGAGATCACTCTATATATTATTCTGCGCCCACACTGGAACTGCCTTTGATGTCCATAATTCTACCATAAGTCCCTTCAAGGCAATCTAGGCATTTACTATTAAACCAAAAAACAAACTCACTGCCGTTGAGTTGATCTCGACTCGTAGCGACCCTTCCTTGGGTATCTGAGGCAGTATGTCTACGGAAGTAGAGTGCCCAATCTTTCTTCCAAGGAGCGGCTGGTGGGTTTGAACCGCCAGCCTTCAGGTTAGCAGTCAGATGGCTTAGGCACTATGCCACCAGGGATCCTTAGACTATATAAAGAGCTCTTAAAATTCATTAACAAGCAACCCAAGTTTGTAAACGGACAAAAGAGTTGAATAAACACTTCAACAAACATAGACAGTTGGAAAATCAACATATAAAAATGTAGTCAATACCAAATGGAAATTCGGTATATAAAAAATATTCAACATAATTTGTTACTCAAGAAAAGAAAAAAAAACAGAAACCAAATACTGTCGTAGAGTCGAAGCCGACTCATACTGACCCCTCCTTGGATTTCCGAGGCAGTATCTCTACAGAAGTAGATTGCCCAGTCTTCCTTCTGAGGAGTGGCTGGTGGGCTT